TGAAGCATTTAAAGGTTGTAAGACACTCAGTACAGGAGAAAGGGGAAATGGGAAAAAGCGAACATGCAGATGAAGATTTTCTGCTGTTACCCTGCAGAAAATCAAGAAAAGATGAAGCTGTTAGCAGCTTTTAAAAAAGAATAATAATCAGAGGTTGGAGAGGATAGATGGGCAAAGGGGTGATACCACAATCCTGCAGTTCTATTTGCATCCCTATAAAGCCCTTTGTTCAATCCTGTCATATCTGAAAACCTAAGCTGTAAATCACATCAGCATTTCCTTCCCGTCACCAATCTGGGAATCCCAGTGGCTTTGCCAAGTACTAAATCCCAGCTAAGAACGGGAATTCTTTTCCTAATTTCTTCAAAAAGGGCCATGGGGTTGATCACATGATGGTATAGACAAGCTCCAGTCTGGATGGGAGGCTAAAATAAAACTGATTGCTCCGTTCTACTAATAAGAACTAGTTTTTTGTTCGCAAAAAGAGGAATCATGGGAACCAGCCTTTATCCAAAATGGAAAACATGCTTGATATTTCACCCAAGCCTTCCTTTAGCTTTTTTTTCTTCTTCTTCTTCTTCTGTTCAGTTGGGTCTGATTCTTGGAGACTGCCTGAACAAGTTCCTGTAGTTTTCTTGGCATTCCCTTCTAGCACTGATGAAGTTCCCTAGTTGGGTTCTGAAATGTCTGCAAGAAAACAACCAAACATATAGAGCACCAAGTAATCCACAGCTGCCCGCTTCCTCCTCCTCCTCCTCCTCCTCCTCCTCCTCCTCCTCCTCCTCCTTCTCCTCCTCCATCTGCACCATGAAATTCAAAACGCACTTTATTCAGAGCAATGTCCCAGTTTAATCTTTGATGTGTCAAATTTCATGAAGAACATTTTTTTCCCTTCCTGAATATGCAGAGAAGAACACGATCGGCCTGGAAAACCTAATTTTTATTTGATGGGGGTAAGGATAGAGAATATGACAAGATTAGACATCTGTGAGGCAACCACACAGAGTCATCTTATCACCAAGTGGCCACATTTGCCAACTGGTCCCATTTGATCTAACTGGGAAAAGGTGCTTTTTCAAAAGGCAATTGGACTTTGTTTTTCCCTGAAGAGGTTTCACTTTGCATCCAAGAAGCTTCTTCAGTTCGGATTGAATGCTGGGGAGTGGAAGGATATATATTCCTTGCAGTCATCTGGTCATTGGTACTCTTTCTGAGAGTCATTGAGGCTGCTTGGAGGTTGATCTGTGCCCTGGGGGTCACCTGAATAGTGCAAATGGGTGTGAAGCCTTCTTGGAACTGCTGAAAGGGATATAAATCCTTCCGTTCTTCACCCTTCGTTCAGAACTGAAGCCGCTTCTTGGATGAGAAGTGAAATGTCTTCAAGGAAAAACAAGAGTCCAGTTGCTTTTTGAAAAAGCACCTTTGGGACAACCACGATCTGGATGACTCAAAATCTCCATCGTCACTTAACCTTTTTCCCATCTTCCCCTTTCCTCTCCTTTTTGAGATACTTTTCAGACAGACAAGCGGTTCATCTTCTCTTAAAACTTACTTCCTTTTGCAAAAGTCATTTAAGCCACCCTAAGTCTGCAAACTGATAGGACTTTGATCTAGACGATGTCACTTATTGAAAGGAAAAAAAGGGGGGGGAGTCATATTCTCTGTCTTCCTCCTCCCGTTGGCTTTCATAAATGTTTAAATACGTGTCTTCAAACTTGGTTCCATGTGGAGCGCATCTCATTTTTAAAATCCTGATTCTGCAATAGTTATCTATGTCTGTGCTCAGCATGATTTTCTCAATTATTAATCATTTCAGGGCTTTAAAAATCTGGGCACACACCTACAGGATCCTACCATTTTCTGACTTTGGGGGGGTGGGTGTTTAGTGGACTATCCTGCTGTCTCTCGGTGTCTTCTTCACCCCTTGAAATATCAGCTTTAATTGTTCATTTATACCTTAGACCGGCGAAGCAGGAGAATAAGGAACCCTTCGGCTCATCTGTGATGCTAGACGGTCTTTCACCCAGCAATCTCTTTGAAATCTTGACTTCTTTTTCAAGCCCTGGCTTTAGAGCCTTCTTGAACAAAAATGTCGCAGGAGATAATAGTTGCCGAAAGAATGGCTTTTAGGGCCATTGCTGCCCCCTCTGAACCTCAATTTCCATATATACAGTACATATATATCCTTCCCTCCCTCCATCTGTCTTTCTTTTCTTTCTTTCTTTCTTTCTTTCTTTCTTTCTTTCTTTCTTTCTTTCTTTCTTTCTTTCTTTTCCATCCATTTCCTTCTTCAGGCTCCATTTCCCCCTCCCTCCATCTCCCTCCCTCTCTGCCTTCCTTCCTTCCTTCCTTCCTTCCTTCCTTCCTTCCTTCCTTCCTCTTTCTTTCATTCTCTTTTTCATTCTTTCTTTGTTTCTTTCTTCCTCAGGGGAGAGCAAATCTGTGATAAGTGCTAAGTGCATTTAGGCTGCATCAAGTGGCTGTCAGGGACAAGCAAAACCAGAAGGCAAGTGTTGAGTGAAAGGTCTGTTGGTGTTCCCAGGGACCGAGCGGTGTTTATGAGTGACGGTTAAAAACAAGCAATGGAGTTGCACAAAGAATTTGCACTTGCGATGTAAACAGGACAAGCTGTGCTCTGTACAAAAAGCATGAGATTCTTTGCCCAGAAAAGGTCAGTTGTGAGAAGCATCAAAAGAAAGTTTCCATTCAAAGGCGATTGAACAAAATCTCTGCATCTGATCAATTTTTTGCTAGTTCAGATCAAATCAGATACCTTCAAATTGATTGAATATTTCTGAGCATGTGTGCATCTCACACACGGGGGGGGGGGGGAGAGAGAGAGAGAGAGAGAGAGAGAGAGAGAGAGAGAGAGAGAGAGAGAGAGAGAGAGTTGAACTTGTGTACAGGAACTGAATCATTTGGGCAATAGAAGTCAACCTGATTATTTTAAAAGTTTCAAAGGTTGTTTATTTACAGGGCCACCACAGACCAAAATAGAACTGAAATTTGAACTGCTTTGAATCTGATCCTCATGTATCTCATTTTGCATATAGGATCTTCCTGTCCTTTTAACACCCATTTGTGGGAGTAATCATTTGCTTTTTTGTAAATAAAATGCAGACAAGATATTAATGCTTCTTCTAATTAACCTCAAGTCAATGAGGGATCTTTTTTTCCCCCATTTAGATGTGAAGATCCGACAAGATATACAAATTCCCATTAGATTCCTGGATCTGAGTTTACTCATGCTTGCATTCTGAAGCTTAATAGGGTGGAGGGGTCTGAATTAAACACTAAAATAGGAACATTACACAGGATCCATTGATATGTGTGATAGGTGTTAGCACAGAACAAAGCAGCAACAAAATTCTAGGTTTGATAAATGTGTGAAGCCGAAGACTGAGAGCAGAAAAAACAGATTTCTGGGCATGAATAAAGACAGACAATTACAGTAATAAATCATTGGGGAGGAAAGAATCGCCCTGTAGGGCACTTCTTCTGCCTGGAGCCCATAGCTTTTCTCAAAATCAGACTTTTTCCCACCCATTTTACCCTCCAGCAAGACCCTTCCCCGAATTTCAGGAGAGGTTTTTTTTTAAAATAAAACCCAAATCCATCATCCAGTTCTCAGCCACTCTGCCTCCTATCACAGCTACATTAATCTCATCCTTTGTTTTCAGGCTGTTTCCCTGACCGTTTCCATCTAATTTTTAAGGAATATTTATTATCTCCAGGTGCTGACAAATAGCCGAAGCCCTACAGGAGAGGAATGGCTGTCTTGAATGTGTTCTCACGCTGCCTATAATCTCAGGACAAAGTGATTTGTGGCTTAGCTAAAGCTGATGCCATCCATCAAAGGTTATCACTCATTTTCCCACCGGCCTTCCAAAAAGTTGCCTTGATAATTAGGCGGGAGTTTGAAATTGCCAACTCTGCAGAAAAAGGCTGGAGAATAAGCAGGATTGCAAAGAGTCAAAGCTGATGAAATACACATGATCCTTGATTTACGACCACAATGGAGTGCAACACTTAGGTGGCTAAGTGAGACATTTGTTAAGTGAGTTTTACAGCTTTTCTTGCCACAGTCGTTAAATGAACCACTGCAGTTCAAAAGTCACTCAGTGCTTTACAGCCCTCTCAAAGCAGTTTACGAAGTCAGTATTTGGCCCCTCAACAATCTGGGTCTTCATTTTGCCGACCTCAGAAGGATGGAAGGCTGAGTCAACCTTGAGCCGGTCAGGATCGAACTCCTGGCTGTGGGCAGAATTAACAATAGCAATAGCATTTAGACTTATATACCTCTTCACATACTTTACAGCCCTCTCCAAGCAGTTTACAGAGTCAGCCTCTTGCCCTTAACAATCTGGGTCCTCATTTTACCGACCTCGGAAGGGTGGATATGCTGTATCATCAAACGTGAGCCAGTCAGGATCAAACTCCTGGCAGTGAGCAGTGAGTTAGCCTGCAGTACTGAATTCTAACCACTGGGCCACCACAGCTCTTCATGGCTAAGCAACCAGTCATAAACTGAGGATTACCTATAATGACGATAACAAAAAAGTTGCACGACACTATCATCCTTCAGTCTGTTTGCCTTTGAAGACAACTGTTCCAACCGGGTGACACTGGCACACGAGGAAGCAAAATGAGAGGCGATGGTTTTTAAACAGGCAACTTTCAAAGATCTTAACATTGCTAAACACACACTCACCCATCTGCTCATTCATTTATTCCCGGCATTTTGCACGCTTCTGTTTTAATCACCCTTGAGAAGTCCAACTGAGAGCATTCATGCGTTCCGCATTTCCAAACTTCTGGAAGTTGACATGAAGTAGATTTACTGCAACCAGCATGTATTTATGACAGTTGTAGTGTTGTGTGTGTGTGTGTGTGTGTGTGTGTGTGACATGAGTAACCTGTGTGATTTGCGGGACGATCACAGCAAAAAAGATTGTAAAACTTGGCGCGACTCACTTAACCAAGAGCCGTTTGAAATGAGATGGGTGGGAAATCAATTTAATCAGTAAGTAACACAATTGCCTGTCTCAGCAGCAGAAATCGTCACCCCAGTTTGCCGTCATAAATCGAGGACTACCTGCAATTGAGTTGGAATGGGTGATCAGCCTCCTTCCACGTAGGGTTTCCATGCTAGTTGCTTCCTTCATTGGTTTTCACTCATAAACCTGGAGGCTGAGAAGTGCCACAAGGTGATCAAGGGAGAAAGACTTGAGGCTAAATCATGTTTTGATGGGGTCATCTTCTTTTTAATTTCCCTCTCAATATCAGTGATTGGAACATTGGAGGTGGTTATTTGGGTGTGCGGGTTTTTTTCCTCCCCCCCCCTCCCCCTTAAAGCCACAGACATTCTACTCTGGGAAAAGTGATTGCGATCCAGGCATAAAATAAATCAGAAGATATGAGAGCTTTTATTTCCTCCGTCCAGTGCTTCCCAGTCCTTGATACCTGAGGCTTTTGTGGTTTGAAGCACTTGAGTCCCTTCAGATCTAAAAGATTTCACTTAGAGAAAGAGGCTTATTTCCCTCTTATGCACTATGTTTTGAAGGGGCCTGATTGATTCAGCCTTAATCCTTCTTTCAAAAAGGAAGAGCCTGTAGTTGTTCGTTCCCCATGCATACAACGGAGCCGGACAGGAACAATTAAAGTGTGCTTAAGTATTTGCAACTATGAATTCTTTTCATTCAAGGCAGGAAAATGCTTCTGCTAAACTATAATCCCACCAGGATTAGTTTAGTTGCCTCCGGTACCATCAGCCTTCCCAGGAAGACCAGACAGGAAACCCAACCAGATAAGCTAATTCTACTTTATTGTAAGGCTACATTAACAGAATTTTGCAAGTCTGAAAGTGCAAATCTCCCGCCGTCTCTTTTATATTCTGAGAAATTAGGGAAGATCTTTTCTTTCTCTCTTATCTGATCACTTCCTAGGCAGTATCTCTGCCAGTCTCCCAGGATCATTCCTACTTACCATTCAGTGTCAGGCCCTCAAGAAGCCAGGAGCTGGGATAGAGTTCAAAATTACTACGACTTTACTTCATGCTATCTGTATTCAAGAATCTGATCTGAGAGATCTCTGGCGCTCTCCAAGCTTCGTTGTTTTCTTGCAGACATACCCGAACTAGATAACATCATCAGTGCTAGTAGATGTTACCTAGTTTGGATCATGAAATGTCTGCAAGAAAACAACCAAGCTCAGAGAGCATCAAGGACCCGTCATTGGTGGAATTCATGAGGGTTTGGAGTTAAGTCTCTTATAGGATATCATGACTGATGATGTGTTTTACCCCACCTTTGGGCTCAACCTGATTGCCTCCTGCATACAGGTGGCATTGTTCTTTCAATGTCCAAGTGTGTGAGATTTCCCCCTTACTAAGGAACTCGATAGAGAAATTTCTCCTGCGCTAGTGTGTCGACCTAGTTGTTGCTGCTTCTGGCAGGTCAAACATCCAGCCGAGCTTCTGGATTACTCGTTTGCTATAAATAGCTTCTTCCCAACATTGCTATGTCTACAGCAGGTGAGGCCATAAGCCCTGATGGACATTTGGCATTTTGCTCAGGGGAGGATAAACAGAGATGCCTGACATGATTCCCACATGCATGCTTTGCATGCCTTGTTTGAAGAAGACCTCCGACTTTTTTCTCCTGTCAATTCTCTCTTTGGATTGTGGGGATTCCTGCATATTTGTAATGGAGTATACCACGCAGGACAGCCTAGGGCCATTACTAAGGTGTGCTCACCTGGATTGGCCCTCACTGTCTGTTCTCATGATGACTAACCCAGTAGACATGGAAGTCCACTAGTCTTCTAGCAGATGGCCTTCAGAGGTAGCCCCACTGATATCAAGACTATTAGCCATCAGTCCCTAGGGCTGGCTTGAATTTGACCAATAATATCATTATTATCTTCAATGCCTTTGGCATCCTTTCCCCCCCCCCCCAGTAGTGTTTCTTATTATCCTGCCATTTTTATAGCAGACACCGAGTGTGTCAATGTATTCATTGAACCTACTGAATCTATGGGGCCCAAAGAAGAGACATGAAACCCTTCTTAATTTTGAGGGGCCTTGGGCTGGATGAATCTCAGCTAACCAGGGCATTCTTGCAGGGATAATTTCTACGTCCAGACTATTAGGGAACACTTCCTTTTTCATTTATAACATTGGCATCAACTCCTATTGAGTTTTCCAACTGGGTTTCATTTGGCTTAATTTAAATTGTAACCCAACATCCTTGGAAACTCACATGATTTGCTCAGATCTTATATGGAATGTTGGGCTGTGGGGGGGAAAATACCCCCATAAATCACAAGTAGCAGCCTCTATTTTCATGGGTCTCCTTTCTGGTTCATCTCTGGTGGCCTTTTGGCCATTCACCATGCTGCTCTCATCCAGGACAAAGCATGACTGATGTCTCTTGGCATCTTCCAGTGCAATTTATAGAAATTTCCTGGCACACTTGAATTGGTCTATCAAACACCAGCTTGGCTACCTGAGCCCTAAAAATAGACCCTACAGTCTATTGTCCACTGGAGGACTTGAGAAATTAAGGAATCAATTAACTGTCCCAACTCTGAGAACGAAAGGAGAGAGTGCAGGCTTCCAGCTACTTTGCTAAAAAAAAAAAAAAAAAAGGAGAGACTCACTTCTTCGGCCAGCCAAAAGCTTCATTTTGTGTATCCTCTGTATTAAGCCAAGAATTCAAGAGTTTTTGCATGGAGCGAAGGAAGAAGTAGCTGGTCCTTGTCTGAAATTGCAGCATGTTTCTGAAATCTAAAAACAAAAACAAAATTGAGAGTGGCTTTAGTGAATCTAGAATAAACCTGAGAGATCCAGTCTTGGTAACGGTGTGATCAATCAGCTAATTGATTAGTTCTTTTTTTTCCCCATTGCTCTAGATTTTTTAACTTTTAAAACCTATTTTAAAAAAGAAAAAGAGAAAAAGAAATGGAAGAGATGGATAGGCTATAAAAAAATGAGTAAGTATGTTCAGCAACTCATTAGATTAGTGCTGCATATGAAAGGGATCCTATCGCAATTTAACATTTCAAAACTTCTATTAAAATCAAATTGATATTCAATAATTAACCAGGGCACTGAAGACAGCGTGTGGAAGTGTAATAAGAACCATCAATCAGGATGAACAACAAATAAGAGTTTCTGCCTAAAATCTAAGTAACTAACAAACTGATTTTATATGTTTTAGCCTCCAGACCCCTAATCATCTTTGTTGCTATTCTCTGCATTCTTTCTAGAGTTTCAACATCTTTTTTCTATTGTGGCAACCAAACTTTAATCATCAACTTTGGGGAGTTTAGTGACACTCAAGTCATAAGCCATGAATCAGGGCTAAGCTGTTTTGTTGGGAGCTGTATCTTTAAATGGAGACCTTCAGCTACAAACTATCAGCCTCTATAACCTGAGACTTAAATACGACTTAGAAGGACAGTTACTTTTTGGATTAGGGAGGAAAAAAAAATAGTCAAATTAGGGGGGGGGAATCCTTTCTTTTTTAAAAAATCTCACTTTTCCCCTGGTGGATTTTGCTAAAAAATACATTTGTGATCAATAACATCCACATTTGATGCTCTCGCTGTAGTCCCTTCCTTCCAAAGGATTACGGCAAGACACGAGAGGTTGAGCATCTTAAAAAACGGTCCTTGCAATGTTCGGAGATGCTACTTTTCAAATTCTTTCTCACTCTGTCCCACTTTGCTGAATTCACCTTGCTGAAAGGTTATGCTCTTGAACAAAATTATTCTGATGGTTCCCCCAGTGCCATGGCAACAGATTATGATGTCAGCAGCATAGACAAGAGGGGAGGGGGAAAAAAACAGTTACTAAGATTATAAAGAGGGAAAATTCACTTTGCAATGCTGGATTTTTTTTTTTCTTCCCTGACTTCTTTGTTTGCAAAAGTCCATGTCATTTTTTTAAAATGATTCAATGAAGGCAGGAAAATATTACAATTTTTTTTTGTTGCTGGGTTTCCTAAGAATGCTGTTTTACTTCTAAGCTTCCAGTAAATGCAGGAAAGTCTTCGTTTTATGGTTTCTAAGAATGCAGTTTTATTATTCCCCTGGTTGAGGAATTCTGGGAGTTGAAATCCATACATTTTAATGTTGCTGTGGGTGAGAAACTCAAGCACCTCTTCCCAGCTGGTCCCTCCAGATGGCCAGGACTGTTATACTCCCCCAAATCCCCAATGCTGACTGGGGAATTATGGGAGTTGAAGTCCTCACATCTTAAAGCTTCCAAGTTGAGAAGCAAAAATGTCCAATCAATGACCCTGTGAACAAGAATTAGTTTTAACATCCTCTTTGCACGAACGGTATGCTTCTGCGATGCTCCAAAGGGTAGCGTTGGGGGTTATATATGTTAGATGGGAAAGACCATTGCACTTTTCCTGGAACTGTTGTCATAGCAACAAACCAGCATTGCAACCTATTGGTTCTAGGTTCTAAAGAGGCAAAAAAGTTGGGGAAAGGAAGGCTAAACTTTTTCAATTCAATTAGGAAAAGAACAGAGAGATTCACCCTGATAGCCAGACCAACCATTATCAGCAGCCAGTGCAAAGTTCTCCAGATAGTTTCAATGGTCCTTTTAAGGCGTCACAGCTTCCTAGTCCTCATGGATCAGGAGAAAAGCATTTTCCCTGAGAAATCCTTGCCACAAGCCATAAATAGCAGCAAAGGAATTCATATTCCAAAGCACAAGTAAATAATAGATAACCATCAGGCCAATTCATTAATGTCTAAATGTCAATATTTCGCTAATGGCATAATTACCCCATAAGCCCAAATGCCAGTCTGTGAAACAAAACAGCAAACAATTTGTCCTCAGGCAGTCATGCATAATTATCAAGAGATTTTAAAACACTACTATCTAATTGTATTTATCTCTGTTGCGTGCTGGCAAATCTGCTGCCAACTTTTCTTTTGAACTAGCCATTCAATTCTCTCCTGTCTTCTCCAAGCAACCTTTATCCCTACCCTAAAAGGCTTAATTTGCTACTATTAATGGCAGAAAACCAGATGTCAGTAGCCTTTCTCAGGTCCCCTAGCAACTGGAAGACAGCACCTGTTCTGTAAAATAAGTCAGCTTTGCTTTCATTTTGAAGTTGATGAAGCTGAGAAGCAGGAAGGCCAGCATTTTTGTAGAGGAATTCTCCTTTGGCCTGGTGACTGATGCACCAGGAGGTCCGTGGGAGAAGGAAGTCCCCATGTGGCCACATTCTGCATTCAAGGAACCAAGCTTGGTCTGCTGTTGGGATCACAGATCAGCCTACAAGATACCCAGATCCAAGCCCTCTGGGAGATTTCTCCAGAACTGAGTTGCAGTTCCAACTAAATGATAACTGAGGATTCTTCACTCATGACCATATTCTCATAAATGAGCAGCGAGGAGGATTTTTCAGCTGTGATGCTCCTGCTTTCACCATGGAAGAAATAGATGATATACAGACAGACAGACAGACAGACAGACAGACAGACAGACAGGCATGAGATAGATAGATAGATAGATAGATAGATAGATAGATAGATAGATAGATAGATTAGATAGAGATGATAGAAAAGAGAGAGAGAGAGAGAAAGAGAGAGAGAGAAAGAAAGAAAGAAAGAAAGAAAGAAAGAAAGAAAGAAAGAAAGAAAGAAAGAAAGGAGAGACAAACAGTGTCATTCCTTTGAAAAGCTTCCCCTAGAGAAATTATCCACCTAATTTCTCAGCCTGCAAAATTTGGGGACCGGTTTTCTTCTGCTGTTTGGGAGCAGTTCTGTCGTTAAACCCCAACGTAATTCTCTCTGCCTATCCAGCTAGTTTTTCAACACCGGCTGGGCGAGAGTGACCATTTCCGACCCTCTTCACTGCTAGCATTTCAGAATGTTGGACGCCATCCTGCTCCTGAATTAGCCCAAGGCTTGAAAGCTGAAGATCCAAAGCCACTTGAAACCGAAGGACCCTTCATCAAACACCTCTATGTTGTGAGTGGGTTACAGGAGCTTCCAGAGACACCGCCTGGTCTGGCTATGCGAGGCTTGGATTACAAAGAGAAGGAGGCATAGATCTGAATCCTAGCTGAGTTGTTTTGCTCCTTGGGAGGGATCAGTCCATTAACATGGAGGCAAAGGAAGGACCAAGGTGAGAGACAGGCAACCAAGAGGAACAGAAGACTTGACCCCTCAACCAGAGAGTGAAGCATCCCATACAGGTAGCCCTGAAACCAGAAAATAAGGCTATGATAGCACTCCTCAGACACCTGTAAGGATGTCCCACAAACTTGTTCTCTTGTTTCAGAGGGCAAAAAAAGCCCTAGATAGATAGAAAGAAAAAAGGCACAAATAAGTGGTTTCCAAAAGCTTTCACCACAATGATCGGTAGGCTTTTGATTGTTGTTGTTTTCTTTTGTTTTGAAGAGAAGGAGGGAATCTCTGTGTGGCTTTCATTAACGTTTTAGATCTTCTTGGAATCTGCCAGGAGACTTTAGTGTTTGGCGCTGAAAAGAATAAATGTAAACATGTTATTGCCAACCCATCTAGTCTAGACCAGTGTTTCCCAAACTTGACAATTTTAAGGCATGAGGACTTCAACTCCCAGAATTCCACAGCCAGCGTTGCTGGCTGTGGAATTCTGGGAGTTGAAGTCCACATGCCTTAAAATTGTCAAGTTTGGGAAACACTGGTCTAGACAGTGATGGACTGGGAGGAGAGGGTCTACCAGGACTTCACAACTCATACGTCCAACCTAATCAAAGCCTCCTTTTTTGCATCCCGAATCCAGACAACCCCGGATTCAGCTCTAGCAATGATTCAACAATGTTGTATCTTAGTTTCCCCTTACTAATTCTAAGTTATCATAGACTCTCTGGGATGGCTGTGTTAATAGAATCCTTATTTGTTTATAACATTTATTATAGGCTTCCCACCTTACCTCAAGGTAACTCTGAGTGGTTTCCTGCACAAAAGATCTTAAGAGTAGATGTTCTTAACCCCTGATGAAGAATATCTGCTCTTAACTCTCGGGAAACCATCATTTCCTGATGGTGAGAACAATGAACCACTGGAACGGCTTGCCTCCAGAAGTTGTGGGTCCTCCGACACTGGAGGTTTTTTTTAAAAAGATATTGGACAATCATTTGTCTGAAACGGTAGAGGGTTTCCTGAATGAGCAGGGGGAAGGGACTAGAAGACCTCCAAGGTCCCTTCCAGCTCTCTTCTTCTGTGATTCTGTTACCTTGCACCTGCCATCTTGGAGATTTGATCAGAACATGTTTTGCTTTGTTGGATATAGGAGCATGGTAGCTCAAAAATGTTCCCTGCTACACCCTTGTAATCTGCATACCTGTTTCCCAAAATCAGGGCCCCCCAAGAAAAAGTCGTGTGTTTGGTCAATATTTCCCTTAGCCTACATTTGCAAGAATAATAATTTAAAATACACGATCCCATAGAAGCTGCAAGTAAGCCTGTTGTAAGTATGTAGGAGTGGACTATTCTTCCTTTTGTGTTCTCCTCTCTCTCTCTCTCTCCATCATCCAACCAAGTACGTTGATCCACTGCATTTTAATTTTCCTTCTACTAATGTTCTCTCCCTTCTGTCCCTTCCCTGATCCTCACCACCTTCCTCCAATCATGACGAACTTGATTTTTCTTCTCTAGGTTTCTCTTAAGTTTTCTTTTTTTCTTTTTTTGTTGTTTTACCCTTTCATTCTAACTTTAGTTCATTTTGTTGTGTGGTAACCACAGTTATGGATGACGCCTCTCCTGGCACACAGGAATATATTATGTTACGGCAAGACTCCATCCAATCTACGGAGCTAAAGAAAAGACAGTCCCCTTTCCGAACTAAATGCCATGAAATCTTCTGTTGCCCTCTGAAGCAAGTCCACCTCAAAGAGAATACAGAGCTGGAAGGTTTGTGCTCCATGCATCTTTTCTTTCCTTTTGCCCTTTTTGGTTTTCCTTCTCCTACTTTCTTTCTCCCTTTCCTTTTTTTTTTTTTTTTCATTTCTTCTTTGCCTTGTTTTCTGGAAAGGCTGTGCCTGGCCTGTTGAGTCTGATGCTACAGGATATGAGAAGCTGCCTAGAATTCATCTCTCCTTGTTTTTGCTTGCTTGTAAATGTGGGGTAGACCCGGTAATCTTTACAAAAAGTTTTGGGAGCTTTTATCATTGTAAAGAAGCTGTTTGTCCCCCTTCGAGGCATTAATAAAAGGTCTCTCTGTTCATGTCATTTGAGTTGCCTTCTGGCTGCAAAATTTGCTTGCTCTTCTAAAAGGACATCTCAGAGTTTCTTCCCAGCTCCAGCTCCTTCATCAATCCCTGGAGTTCTCTTGATTCTTTTAACGTTGTCCTGAGCTGGGGAGAATTAATATCACCCTGTAGTTGAACTTTAATTCTTGGGTCCTTCGTGAAAGTTTTGTTTGTGCACTGCTTCTGCTGATCTTGCCAAAATTGCTTATACGAGCTGCAGTTTGGCAAAGCGGGGTAAGGTTTTCTGCATGCATGGTTGCACTCTGGAAAGTTTCTTGCATGTTGTAGAGCAAAATTGGAATGTGTCTCTCTCCTCTCCTCTCCTTTGTTTAATTTATGCTCCAGAGATGAGATCAGACATCGTTGGGATGGTTGATGACTTGCTTGTTTATGACTTGTGAAGAGCAAACTTTGGTCTTACTTGCCTGTGGGTTGGTCTATGAGATTAAACCATTTTTCCTTTTTGTTGCTGTGGTTTTGGGACAACTGAATTCTTGGTATTTCTGTAATGTTTTCTCTTATGTGTTTTCTATTACTGCCTCAATTCTACGTGGTAAGATTTTGCATGTTTTACATCAGCTTCCATATATGGTTATTTAGCTAATGAATTCACTGGGGGATTGTCTATATACGTGGATTTGATTCGGTATATAAGGGTAGATGGTTTTGGCTGGTGAAGAACAAACTGTGGTTTCCTTTCAGTCTGGGTTAGAGTTAGGTTTAGGGAATCACTCAGATCCATTCAAGTTATTTACTAAAGTTGCTATATTTCTGTTCCTTCCCAAACGAACATCTTTGAGATACACAAAATTATTCCACTCCCATATTTGTTCATGCTTAAATGCAACTAACCAACCAAGAACACTACAAGTAGAGGTAGTATGTTGTTATTTCATCAACAAAGTATTCAAGCTTTTGGTCTCTCTTTCCATCATTTAGTTCTGAGGCAAGCATCCATCTACAAACAGGTTCATGAACTCTGAATAGTGATGATGTATCTGAATGAAGAAGACATTTGTCCAATCTTCTTGATGGCTGGTTGCATAAAAAGTTTCCAGTCACTTTCAGATGGACAAATATTTCTTACTTGACTCTTACATATGTGAGTGTTTCCCCAAAGCATAGATCTTTGCTGTGTTGACTATTCAAATAATGTCCTCTGTAATAGCCTTCTCCTTCACAACTCCCATCGCCCCAGCCAGCATGTTGGTTGGAGATCATGGGATTTTGGGGTCCAACACACAAGGAAGGCTAACTGATAGCACTGGGAGAGGAACTGATATGAACCTGGATGTAGTAATCGCACATATATTTTCAACTGAGATATCCAGGTTTTCAAAAATAGAACTTCCTTGAAGTTTAATCTCTTGTGATTAAGGTATGAACAAACAGTTCTTAAATCTGTCAACTGCTGGGTCTTTTATATTCAACTTTTATTTGGAGTGCATAATTTCTACCACGTATTGTTGTGTCATTTATTGCCAAATGTTCCAGGGTCAATATCTTCACAGTGCTACAGGCTGCAGCCTCATTAGTGATGGGTGTTGTTTTTGTGAAGTTTCAGCTATTTAGTGCTTTGTTGCAGTTAACGTGGGACTTCCTAAAGTCTCTCTTGAGTTACTTCATTGGATTTTGTTGACATCAGAGACTTATGTTTTCATGACGGTTGGAGCTGAATGGTTGACAGTAGCTTCTTTTGTCACGCACATTCTGTCCAGTGAGGCTGTCCACTTGGATTTGGTTTTTTTGCCTGATACACAGGGACAAGATTGTGTTGCAAATGTGTCCCCATAGATGAGGAATGTCTTTTACTGGAAAGGAAGCAAAAGGAATTTGACATAGACTTGCCCAAATGATGCACCATAAATGATGGAGAGCACATGTACATCAACCAAGCATACACCATCTGCCCGTGACCATCCAGAGAAACACTAACTGTTCAGTTATGGTTCAGCAGAAATAGACAGAAACTGGAGATAATCTGTTTGGCAAATGGTAACCTTCAAGCTTGAAGTGGTTTACTAAGCTGGTTCATCCCTGGGCTTGTGTCCTTCTGATTAATAGGACGCCTCTAGATATCAATTGCACCTCAACTATCCAGCAAACGAGGCCAAATCCAAAGAATGCTGGAAACTAGCAACATCAGAAGATAACCCGATGTCCATCTGTTAGAAGACTTCTAGGAAGGACACAAAAATGGCCTACAATGACTGGATTTTAACAAACTAGAATGAATCCAGATGTCCTGTTGCTTTGCACATCTCCAAAGGAGTGATAGGAGCCCTGTGTAATGGTGAGCAGATGTGGGATTCAGATGTGTAAATAAATGCCACCAACATGCTGATGGAGTTGAGGCTTTTGGCAGAACATTATAGTAATTCCCTTTTTACACTGGGATGTTTGTTCAACTCAACTTGATGTCCTCAAATATAAATGTTTTCATTGATTTTTTCCCCCCTCAATGTTAACAAATGTTCCTTCTTTTTTAAAGAAGTTTTCTCTCTCCCTCCCACCCTCCTTCCTTCCCTATCCACAAACAAACACACACACATACACACATGCTGGATCCTAAGCATTTTATTTTATTTTATTTTATTTTCTCTTTTCTTTTTTTTTTTTGCTCCATTGCTGTTTCAGGGATATATGTCATCCTTAAATCATTCTTCCAGAAGATGTTTTAGATGCCCAGACCCTCAGCCTCATTCTCATGTACAAATGAATAATAAAGGAAAAATGCTATTTTTCTTCCCATTTTCCTTCCAAGGATTGGTATTGCTATTCACAAAAGAGTACGGGCAAGAAAAGAGAAAATGATAATGTTATCTAATCACAAATGTTGAATGAATATTGATCTTGTAGAAGTGGAAACAAGCAGTGCTGATTGCAGGGAATATTATACATTTGCCAGCCGGAGTATAAAGCAGGAGAGTAGACTTAGTCTGAAAAAAAAATACATATTCATGAATATTCTTCCTGTTTTATTCCTCCAAAGTTTCTAAAGATGGAATGTTTCTTTGTGCGTGGGGTTTTTTTCTCTCTCTCTGACGTCCATGAAATCTGTTTTGGCTTGTTCTAGAAGACTTTTCCTAGCAGAAATCGCTGTCTGACACATTTCAATGTAGGGCAGTGTTAAGAAGTAGCCTTCAATTAATTCCACCCTGAAATGTCTGAATCAGTTTTAACCTGGGAGGGCAATGTCTGAAGAAGGGAGAGGCCTTAAACCTACATTCCAGCCTTCCCCAAAATTGCAGGATGACACTACTTCCTTCCACTTTTCATTATGGACTTTGGAGACATTCATGGTGAGAATAAGTAGCAGAAGAACCTCAGGGATGTAAACCATTGTTCGACCTGTAGGAGAATAGCACAAACCTATGCAAATAGTTTCCGCATAAAAAGGGTCATTTTTTTTTTTGTAATGTAATTGTAGGTCTTTCCACCATCAACCACTTCCATTTCTCCCTCCACTTAATTTTGGAGAATAAAACAATGAAAAGAAAATGGTGCCCCTTAGAGATTCGCCGATGATAATTTTGGCAGCGCAATCCTCTCTCTTTCATGAACAGGCTGTGGAAGGGTAGAAAATGTGTGGCTGAAGAAGGGTGCAAGCCCATGAGGTAGACTAAGTGATGAAACCAACATCCCAGAAAAGTTAAAACTCCTTTCAGGTTGGTTATCATGAGAGAACACTGGAAGCCTGATTGTACTGTACAGTGGCTCTTCCTCCTTATAGTCAGGGAATGAGGGAGGTGTCTGTCTCAGCCACTTCCAGGTGTTATCTGGACCTTCTAGACTTCAAAACATGTTTATCCTTTGCCCCCTTGGCAATGGAGCTCAACTACCTCCATCAAGGCCATCTTCCTTGCTCTCAACACATGCTTTTTGTGGGGTGTCCTTCCCCATTTCAACTGTTTTCCTTGCTAAAATTATCTATGTACAGTGGGCTATAGATAACACTCCAAAAGTGAGCACAGTCAGGAACCCAGATAAATCCAGTGGGGAAAAAATAAGATAAGTTGGGCAGAAAATCATAATCATTCTATTAAAATATATCAAGAAATAACTATTCAAGTTCTGGCCAAGACTTCTGGATCAGCTCACTGATGGAGATGATCTGTCTTTGGTTATTGGAGTATTTTTGTAGGATGAAACAGACACCAAACTGCTCCAGTGAACCCTAGAATGTCCTGGTAGCTCATCCATCTTCTAACGTGACTGTGGCCAACCTTTGCATTCTAAATTCTCCAGAGAGGAAGATAAATGGAAGAGTCCCATGGCCCGGTACACCATAAATTCCCCAGACATTTGTGTGTCTCTTCTACATTAGCTGGAGGCAAATGTGCAGAAGACACGCACCACTCTTCTCGAGCACAGACGCAACAGCCAAAGGGCTACCAGCATGTCCTCTTACCATGATTTGTTCTCCTAAATACATGAAGCGTCAGCCCCTGTTCTTTTCTTTTCTCTCTTTTTTTCTGAAAAGGAAAGGGCTGCGAAGCCAAGTCTGGTTTTGAAAACGTAATTTGCATCCATACATTCAAAGCAGACAAACTCTAATGAGGTGGCGTGTTTTGTATGGGATAGCTGGTTTCTTGTTGGAAAAAAAGGAAACGAAGAAACAAAAACAAGTCCTTTGGATTGCTGTTGTTCTATAATCACTCC